ATGGGACGTTCTTATTTTCTAGAGTGGGGGATATTTTGGTAGTAGCCTTCAAGCTGTAGCGAGTTCTAGTCTCATGTCGCAAGCGAACCGAATTGGCTCCGACCGTTCTTGAGGTAGAAAAACACATGAGATAGTGTCCCTGACTCTTGAGCCAATGGTTATGGGGCCTATTTTTCTTAAGCCTCATATGTGACTGCAGTAGGCGACTGTTACAAGAGCTGATCACTTTGTGGTGATATGAAGGGCTTGGGTAACCTCTCGAAGAGGGAGATTGTTTCATTGTTCTTTCTGACCACAGAATTTCTTAGTTTTAATTTTCAGGACAATAAGAAGCAAGATTTCCGAAGGGAAGAAGCGTAGTAGGATAATTTTAGCTTGTTGGTTGGCAGGACTGTCCTGCAAACCAACATCTTTTAAAAATCTAGGAGAAGAAGTTTTTAATCAGGACATTGACATTGGAAGTCAGAAAAGCTGTTTTTTTTTTATCTTAGGTCATATCCTCAATGTGCGGATAAATGAAAGAATTTGAAGGTTATAGTGATGTAGTATGATGCCATTTATATTCTGCAGTGAGTTGATATGATGCGGATAAGAGTAATTTCGTGCATTTTGTAAATTGTGTTCGATGACACTGTACCTATTTTACAAACATTGCGAGGTTCAATGAGGACATTGACCGGACTGTCCGGGGAGTATGTGACATTAGACCAGAATGCACCAAAATGCAAACGCAGCAATTTCGAGTTTTAGCAGCGAACCTTCCGAATTGGCGATTTTGAAGGAATAGGAGCGTTATTCGAACGATTGGACAAATCGGAAAGACTGAAGGATTTGGAAATTCCTAGATTTTAAAATTTCGAATTGATGAAGTAATAATTCTAAGAAACGTCAAAAGTAGCCCATTTTGGAGAAAAACCGAAGTAGACACACAACAACATTAGTTGCGATAGCGATAACGACGAGAATTGTGATTGGAAAAGAACAAAAAATTGCAGAAGTAGCAGAGACCGTTCCGAGTTGCAACTATTGTGTCGCTACAATAGTTGCAAGGCCGTTGCGAACAACGGTGAAGGGTGGAAGACAGCCTTCCGGAAGGAAAATAGAGGTCTTATTTCCCCGGATTCGAGAATCCGGAGGGGTCTCGGGATTTGGACTGAAACTAATTTACATAAACTTTTAGCTTCCCTATTATGTCCTGAATTGAATTTAATTAAAATCTGAATTCATTCTGCTAAGATGAGAAGCTAGGAGTTGGGGGAAAGGGTTGATCCATCTTCGATGGAGATGATGATTTTTATCTACTGAACAAAAACAATAATAATTCAATGAATAGTAGTAGCCCTGGCCATGAGCTCACTATTTCTGCATGCAATTAAGTTAATTTGAGCGTTCTGGTCGAAGCCGGAGAACAGTAACGTTTTTGTCGACCCGATGTTGAAAAGACCACCAAAAGAACTGGCTTGGTAGAGACGGTAAAAAGCATGTAAAGCTCTGTTTAGATGCTCTGTTTAAAATGAAGAAAACTCTCAGAAATTTGTGACAAAATGTTTTAAAATGTTACATAATAGTTGTTACATAATTTCAGTGATATTTGTAAGTAAGAATTTTTTAAAATTGTTAATTCAAACGTTTTCGCACATTTTGTGCATCGTCAGGATATAAAATTTTTTATTTACAATAAAATGATTAAAGATCATGTATGAAATTCAAAAAGAACATGTTAGAAATTTTTTAACCAATCACATTTTTACATCTGTTATTACGTAATCATTATTTCATCGATTATGACAATTTCCATACTTTTTCGTTACTTGAGTCATAATTTTTCGATTTGATGTTTTATCCAAACTGACATGTCAGTTTATTTTTTCAAAAATTGCGATTTTAGTCATGTTTAAACATGTACTATAATTTTAATGTCAGCTCCCTGCTCCTGAACTCCTCGCGCGTGTTAATTCTGGGGCTTTCTTTCCAAATATGTAAGGTCTCCAGAGTGATGAGTTTCTCTATGTTACTTGATTGATCTATAATCTCAGACTTAAGCTCAGCGCTCTTACCATCCCTGTCACATTCTCTCAAATGTTGCCCTACTGGCGAATCTTCCTTGTGATGCTCTTCAATCCGCGTGGTCAAATGCCGGACCGTTTGTCCAACATAGGTGGAATTACATCCACTACATGTGAGCTTGTAGACCACTCTGGATTTCAAATCTTTCGCAAAGGGAGATTTAAGGGACGGTAGGCAAGTCTTGAGCTTTCTCGTAGTAAATATCACTTGGGCTCCGGCGTTTTGACGCAGTTTGGCAGCAAACCACTCTGATGCATTACCCCGGTATTGTAATGTTATAATGGGTGCACTGACCTTTAAAGGATCTTCCTTGACTGATGTTACCGTTGTTCGTGTGTCAGTTTTTCGGTCGATGATCTTATTCAACGTTCTTAATACGACACCATCTGACCATGTTTCAGGGTATTGATTATCCACCCATTGTTCTTTATTGATCTTCATTGCCTTGTCAAAGTTTTCCCATGTTGATGTACTTCTAAAAATCCGATGAACAGTACCCTCAACTACATTGCGTTTATATTGCAATGGAGCGCAGCTTCTGAAGTTAAGGATAGTCCCAGTATCCGTTGGTTTTTGATACCATCCACATGTTACCTTTTTTCGTGAGTCCACATTAATGTTCAAATCTAGAAAGGCTAAGTCTCCGTTCGAATCCGGATTTTCGATAGTGAATTATAAGTTGGGGTGGAGCTCATTAGCTGCTTTTAACACTATATCTGGATCCCCCTTTACCGTCCTCACAATATCATCTACATATCTTAGGAACGCTTTGACATTTTCTGTTGGTTTTTCTTGATCTCGCTGCTCTTTACATCTCTTACAATACCAAACCATTTCAGAGATTTGCTCATATTCTTTGTCGGATACATTACTACACTTTAAATGGTACCAATTTAAACAAGCTTCGCATTCGATCCCCTTACTTCTGTATGTTACCCTCCGCTCGCAATCAGGGCATAAGCCATTCCGGTTTTCGTTTAGCTGAGTCAACGCAGGTACTTCCTTCATTTAATGCATATTCGTACTCCTTTAGCCATAAATTGGCAAGAATGACAGCAAGGGATGCACCCATTGCCAACCAATCCTTTTGTACGTACCATAAACCATTGCATTTGAAGTGCACCTTACTTACAGCCATGTTCAACAATTTCTTCATAGTTCCGCGTGCCAGTTTAGGAGGACTAGTTTGTTCGTACAGTTTCCTCAGTGCTATATCTATTGCCTCCTTTAGTGGGACATTAGTGTTCAAGCTTTTGACATCCAGGGAGATAATACTCTCATTATAGTCTAGATCTATGTTCTCTATGATCTCCCGAGCCATTTGTGTGTTTGTCTCAAGGTTTGCCCCCTCAATGTTGTCAAAAAATTTGGCCAAAGTTTTATTTAGATGTTCATATGAGCTCCCTGGCAGTGACAGTACGGGACGGAGACAGGTTCCTTTCTTATGTACTTTAGCCAATCCATATAATCGAGCTGGCTGCCCTCCCGTGGACCTAAGCCTACTATACAGTGCCTCGTCGATCTCATCTTTCTTTTTCATGGCCAACAGTTCTTTGTTGATGTCTTTCTCAATTTTCATAACAACACTATCAGTTAAACCTGGTTTTTCGCTAAATTGTTCCGATTGCAGCAGCTCAGTTAGTTTAGCTTCATATGTCGTTTTCTTCATTACACCGAAGCCAACACCTTTATCGAATGGGACTGCCAAGAGACCATTGTCCTTCAAATACTTCCTGGCTTTCTCAATCCCTCTATCCGACGGTGTTTGCCGCACACGTTTAGCGTATGATTTTGCAGCAGCTTCAATTTCACATAATTTTTCACCTGGTACCTTTTGCGATTTAAGCTCAGATAAAAAATTATCAATGTCCGCAAGAAAGTGAAGTTCATTGAATTTCATACATGAATTTCATACATGATCTTTGATCATTTTATTGTAAATAAAAAATTTTATATCCTGACGATGCACAAAATGTGCGAAAACGTTTGAATTAACAATTTAAAAAAATTCTTATTCTACTTTTTGTTAAATTTTGGAAAAAAAAAATAACCTCGGCGATATTTGTAAGGTTTTGATTGGTTGAATTTTTAAAATTTTGAAGTAATGATGTGTGTGACACTTTTTATGATCCTTGATCATTTTGTACAGATAGTTTAGACTTTTTAAAACCTGAAGATGCACAAAATGTGCGAAAACGTTTGTTTGAATTTATAATTTTAACGCATTCTCTGTTTAGACGTTAGCCAGTCGTCTTAGGACCTAGCTTTATTTTCCGTCGGTATGTATCTTCGGGGCGAATGTTACACAGGGAGTTAACACTGAAAATTTAGTCCCAAAATATTTTTGGTTTTTTATTTAAAACGTACATGTCTAAATTGAAATTATGTCTCAGAAACTTCCAGACAAATTAATTTTAAAATGTTTAATTTATTTTGGAGGTTAAAAGTATTTTAATCTTAATACTAATTTAGAGGTCAACTGTGATTGGCTAATTTTTTAACTTGATGGTTTAGAACCAAATTGTATGTGAATTATTGTAATTAACATTTGTAAATTGATGTTTATCGACATTTAGATTAGTTTATTGTAAAAATCCTGACGATGCACATAGTTGCGAAAACGTTTGAAATTTACTTTTTAGCGAAAATTTCTTTAATACTGAATTAACCAATCAGAATCGAGACAAGGAAGAAATGAATATTTATTTCATTTCGTAAATTTGCTTTCTCGTCTCGATTCTGATTGTTTGATATGGTAATTGTCTGCCTGCTGACGAGTATGAATACGCGGTTTTCTGGATACAGACTTCACTCCGTTATTCAGTATCAAAATAGAAATTGAGAAAAAAGCAATAAAAAGAATTTTTGGTAAATTTAATTGCAGCTTTGTTTCTTTTTTCTAATTGGACTCATTATCATATATCTCCGTAGATAACATGGGAATCTGAGCATATCTTACGAAGCTTGCATCTGAAGGATAGTAATCATGCCTGCTCGGAGCTCCATGGGCTCAAGTCATCTACCACCACAAAGAAAACCATCTGCAGATTTGAATAGAAGTTGCTGGGTTTGTTTTGCTACGGACGAGGACTTCGAATCAATTGATGAATACTCAGGGGGATGGCTCAAACCTTGCAAATGTCGAAATACAACAAAGTGGGTTCATCAACATTGTCTTCAACGCTGGATTGACGAAAAACAACGAGGAAATCCGAGCATAAAAGTTGCATGTCCTCAATGCTCGTACCCTTATGTGATAAATTTTCCGAAACAAAGCAATTTTATTAGGTTTCTAGAAATGTACGAGAAATGGATCCAGAAAAGCTGTCCCATTTTATCCGCTGGAGTGGCTGCTGGAGCAATATATTGGACCTCTGTGAGTTACGGAGCTTTTACTCTGATGCAAATTTTAGGTGCACGAGAAGGCTTGGAACTTCTCGAAAAAGGAGACCCCTTGTTTTTACTTATCGGAATGCCGGCCATTCCAGTTTGCCTGGTTCTCGGAAAGCTTGTGAAATGGGAAGACCTAGTTTTGAAGTTATGGCGGAAACATTCGAAACGTGTGATGGATTTTTTTCATGCATCACATAGAGGAACATTCCCATACCAACGAGATCTCACTACGGGACAGATGACATCTCAGCAAGCTGCGCGTGACCCAGTAGAGGCAGCCATCATATCTGATCCTGTAAGTGCTACTCGAGTTCTATGTGGTGCTCTAGTATTGCCAACCATTTCTCTTTTATTTGGGAAAGTGTTCTTCCAAAACGTACAAACGAGCTTGCAAAGAACACTACTTGGGGGACTTAGCTTTGTGGTTTGCAAAGGTGTGCTGAAAATGTACTTCAGGCAACAACAGTTTTTGAGGACTTTGAAAAGACAAATCGAGGACTATACTGACCCGGAACCGGAAGATCACTGTGAATCAGAGTCAGAGAGTACGATGTCACATGTGGAGGACGAAGCAGTGATGACAGCTGAGTTTGAGTTTGATACTGGCGGTGTTACCGAATACCATTCCGACGAAGTGAACGAAGACTTGGACATTTTTCCGACTGATTAGCTTGCTGAACATCGAAACGAACATGTGTAACTGGGTAAAGGTTTTTCGCAAAGAGCATTAGATTAGAACCAAGCTTTTTAGTTATTGTTCAGAACACATAATATAGGCTTTTGTAGAATGAATTTAAAATCTAATTAAAGTTGAGTTTTAATTGTTGCTTCCTTCAATGCAACGTATAGGCACAATAATAATTTTCGCAGCGGAGAGAGAGAGAGATGTTGAATTTTTTCGTAATAGAAGCTTGTTTTCTTGTTTATATGCTTTGATGCTTATCAGCTAGTTACATGTTTGTTCAATTTTGTCTGACCACTAAATATCAAGAACTGACTGACAGGGGCTACATATACATATTCCAACCGATAGCCTATGTCATTTCGTCTATGTCATAAACTATCACTTTGAGGCGTGGTGTTCTGCGACGAACTGTTCGATATTTTGTATATGCAGGCTCTATGTAAAAAATGTTTCACTGTACTTCGTCAAGTTTTTGATTCCTCTTTAATTTCTGTACACTGCCAAACAATGCTGGACCTTTACTTGTAAATTTAGTTTACAATAGTTTTTTGTATATGCAGGCTCTATGTAAAAAATGTTTCACTGTACTTCGTCAAGTTTTTGATTCCTCTTTAATTTCTGTACACTGCCAAACAATGCTGGACCTTTACTTGTAAATTTAGTTTACAATAGTTTTTTCTTCAGCTGGTGTAACCTTGCCATTTTTGTTTTTGTCTTCGTCTTCTGTCGTTGCAGAATCTGAATCGTTATCGGGCGTTCCGTACAATTCAGGGTCTTCTTCTTCTGCGCCTTCTTCTCGCTTGGTTTTTTGCGCTGACCGTTCTCTTTCACTGTCTGCAACAGTCCTTCTGTTTTTGCGTCTTTTAATGCTTTTTGAGCTGGAACTTGTTGACGACGGTTTCTTGGGAGAAAGGAGGGCTGTAGATGTTGAAGGGGAATTTGTGGAACCTCTGCTTCTTTGCCTCTGTTCAGCTTGTTCCGTAGTCGTTGACTGAACCGCAACTTTGACATACTTGTTCATAACCAACTGTTCGTCAAGTTTGAGAGACCTCAAAATAAGTATGAAAGCAGGGTTGTACAATTTTTTAGTTTGCTGTTGTATATCATATAAAAAAACTGATGCTTTAAGACCGGTTGGAACTTTATCAACGTGAAGCTCTTCATTTTCTTTGTTTATTTTGACTCGCTCTGACTTTTAATAATTTCCAGAACTTTTTTTTGCTCGCTTAATTCAGTTTTCGTCCATCAGTTTGTAATTGTAACGTGATACGTTCAGTGGATAAAGCGTCATTAAGCTCAGTACTCTCATCTCATTTCCCTCATCTTCAGTTAGAAGGAGAGCTTGTTCTTGTTGATTGTTGTCTGCTGTGGCATTGATAAGTGTTTCGGGGGTTGGCATAACTGGGGGATTAGTTGTTATTGTTGCTTTTAGGGGTCCTAATCGATTCAAGTATGAGAGTTGCGGTTTTTTATAATTGATTGAGTTGTCAAGCAAACTTTGCGCTGCATGGGGTTGTTCTCTAATATAAATATGCTTCGGAATCAGAACTAACTCGTGTGCTGTCATTTTTCTGCTGTCAAATACTTGAAGCAAAAATTAAGTATATGTCTGATTAGATAAAATCCTTGTTAACTCAATATAACGACTGATTTTTTTTCGAGACTCGGTTTTGGATTGATTAGAATCTTAAATGTTTCTTCGAAATTATTAAGATTTGGAAAACTAACAGGCACATTACCGTTGACTACATTGAGCAAGCATTCGCAAACGACTGATATAACTTGAGTATTTGATGATTTTCTAATAAAGCTCCGTAGTTGACTTGTACCATGTGCTGCAGAATAGATAATTTTTTTCACGTTCATTTGTGATGAGTGTCACTTCTGCCTTATCTAATGGCAAATAGAAAATTGACGGACCAGGTGGTGCTATGTTTGAACAGTATCTGAGACAGTCTGATGTTCGCGGATCTAAATCTACTAATAGATGTCCAAAGCTGTCCTTTGTAGCCAGTTCATACGATTGTCGTAAAAATTTAGGTACATTAAGTTGTCTTCCGAGGTGATCAAGTTGCTGAATATCACGAGGTGGTTTGAATAAAATGATGTGAGATGTGTTCAAATCAATACAATTCGTTTTTAGATCAACAAAACGAATTTAATAGACTATTCTATGGTATATCAATAAGACCAGCAGCGTTTTCAGCATTTATGAGTAAATTTTTTTTAGACCACTCCTTCTTAGCATAAATGTATTAACTTATTTGGACGATGTCTTCATGCAGTCAGAAACTAAACAAGAAATATTAAAAGTATTGGACAAACATCACCAAAAGAAAACATGAAATTAGATAAATCCCATTTTTTCCTTACTGGTGTAAAATTCCTTGGACACATTATTGAAGGCAAAACAAATTACACCTTTGAAATCACGAATAGATGCAATAATAAAACTCCAACTACCATCTGTTAAAAAGAAACTTCAAGAACTTCTTGGAATGTTAAACTTCTTGAGTAAATACGTTAATAAAACACAATTATATCTAAGACCATTTCATAATATTCTCCGACGACTAAATAACTTTGAATGGACATTAGAACATCAAAAAGCTTTGACGAAATAAAAGCTCTCCTCACAGAACAAATCTCAAACACAATCCCAGACCCAGATCAACCTTTCTACGCTATGTGCAACGAATCTAACTTTGGAATCGGAGCAGCACTTTTATATCAGAACCTTATATCAGCAAATTTGAGACTTTTTACACAAGCAGAATTTAGACTCTCTACCCTTATGAGAGAATGTGCAGTTATAATAGATACATTAACAGAATATGAATTCATAATCCTTGGATCAGAACATTCAACAGTTCTTTTTACAGATCATAAGCCGATAATTTTCCTGTTTACTTAAAAGTCAAATCCAAACCACGGAGTCAAATCCAAACATTTCAACTTATCCTAATGAGATTTCCAAACCTACAGGCGCAGGCAAAACCTTGCCTGCGCCTGTACAGCAGGCAAAAACCTTGCCTTACCAGATACACTTAGTCGAAACACTCCACGTGAACTACTAACACGAAAAACAACCGAAGAAATAACACAAAACAAAATTCTTCCTTGCAAAAGACGAAACATCACAATTGGAGTGTAAATACGCAGTAAAAATTCACTCTGATATTACGCATATAAACACATAAGGAACCTCACATTATATCTGGACTGTCAAAAGAACCACTGTGAAGTAGATTTATTAGGAGACGGTACTTGCAAACCAATACCATACTCATCATGGGTAAAAACAATACACAACAGAAGACGTCTAAACAAAAAACACACCGAAATAATTTATTCCCATTATTAGAAAAAGAAAACAAAACAGACAACTTTAATTTGCCAACCCCAGCCCCCCACTGCCCCCTCCCCATTCTCCGATTTCAACCAAAAATGAGATATTCAATTTACAAGACCCCTTGGATAATACAACATTCTCAAAAAAGGAAATTCAAATTTTTTTTCTTCAAAACATCGAAACAAAGACATTTCAATTGATACAAAAATTCAAAAGTTTCGACCCTCTCATCAGACAACTTAAACTTGGGACAATTTTAAAACAACCAATAAAAGCTGACATCACAATTTTAGGGAAAAAACCTTGCTTCGATTTTTCCGAAAATTTAATAGTACGACGATCAACGACAATTCTGATCTCTTAGAATATTATACTCCTGAAACAAAAGTACCCTGCCTCTCATTAAGCTTAATTTTAGTTGCATTTCACTCTAACAATAAAAGGATATGCAGGTTCAGAAGAAAAAAACATATTCAAACTTCACCCAAAACGTTTGCTTTCCAAATGCACCAATTTGGATAAAAGTTTTATGCAACGATTGCATAGCGTGTCAATTAAACAAACCTTTTCCACATCAAAAACAATTAGCGGAAAAACAAGACTTTAAAGAACAAAGTGTCTATTTCAAACACAGAATTTCATTCGTCAACAAAGGCCCTATGTCATTCTTCTCAGAAGGAAACTCGTATATCATGGTAATAGTTGATGCATTACGCATTATTTAGCACTCAATCCTGTACCTCATTGTAACGCTTGTTATGCATACACAACACTTCACGAATACTGGATAGCTAAATGTGGACTACCAGAAATCCTTGTCACAGACAATTGAACAGAATCTATCAATAATGAAATCATAACATTATGCCACCTCTATAATATAAAACATAAAACTAGAATATCCCATGCCCTATGGACAAATGGACTAGTTGAAGGCATGAACGGTTCGTTACAAGAGTACCTCCGATGTATTATAAACGGAGATGATAAAAAATACACCGAATGGTCAACAGACGTAAAGTTGTTTCCATTAGAATACAATTCACAAATCACAACAACTCTTGGGCTATACCATATGAAATGATTTTTAACCAAAAACCACGTAAACCAATAATGTTCACAGCAAAAAACGCTCAAGGTTATTGTCAACCAAACAACGATTCAATTTGTTATAATCTACGACTTCACACTCATGATGAAGATCGTTTTCACCATCCCCAAATCCTAAAATTAGCCTCTGGAAGCCATACAGGATGGATTTTTAACCGAGATAAAAAAACATAACAAAATTTATCAAAAAGTTGTTATAGACAAAATGTTCAGTCTAAAAAAATTCACGTTTTACACCAGCTTCAAACCTAAAAGTAGGCACATTTGTTTTAATCCCAAATTGTATCATCCAAAAAGGAATTTCGACAAAACTACAACCTATCCGAAAAGGACCCTTTCAAATAACCGAAAAACCTACAGATGTCACATCTAAACTTATATCATTTTGCCTGCCACGTCTTGAGCTATTTTGATCACTGAAGTGCAAATGTAGCTTGTTGCGCATGTATCGTTTCTTAGAAAAAGGTTATCAACCAAAAATGTGTTTTACAATGAGATTGTTTAGCTAAAAAGTTTTTTGAAGCATTGATTAGGTTGCTTGACTGTTTTTGCTTATATTAAAGAATATCAGTCTGAAAATACCGTGCATGAAATATAGATGTCGAAGGTTTTCGGAAAAGCAACTCAGTATAAGTTTTTCGCCAGTTTTCAAATTCGTCTGATTGTTTCTCTGTGAAGCTCTTTGAGCAAGAATTCGGTTGCGCCATGTAGATTTGTCGTATACTTTTGTCGTTAGAAATACCACAGGTTAAAGAAAAATCAAAGATTTCCGACAAAGCATCAGTGTTCATGTTCAATGTACTCGAGAATTTTTCTGGAAGAAAATCTTTTATTTATTTTGGGCTCAGCCGACTTTTTAGCTGGCTAACGTACGAATTTTTTTGTTTCAAAATAATATGGTTCAGATTTGTTTGTATTTTTTTAAGAGATAATTGCGGTTTGGGGTCTTCGAAAATAAAGCAAGAACTTTGCCTCTTTTTATACCCCATGTGATGCGAAATTCGGCAACGGTGCATTTTCTGTTGCTGGCAGATTATTTGAGCAATCTTATGAATGGTATGTTAATTAATGGTAAAATGGCTGATGTGCACTCGTGTTTGCTATTTTATTAGTGGCTCATGTATGTTATTGCCACTAATATTTGAGATAGATTAAACTCTTTCTGTAAGTATATCTTTCTTTTTGAAAACATTTTTGAGTTTTTGTCTTTTTCTTGAAAGTAACTTCAGTTGAAAAGTTTTCGATTCATTATTTTCTTTTCAGACTTTTAGCTATAAGCAATGCCGCCAGAGAATGGAAAAGTGCAAAGGGGGCAAGTGCTTGTGTATTCCATCATTGGCTGTCCTCACTGCGTGCGAGCGAAGAACTCCCTCCGTCAGGCTGGAATACAGTACGTGGACGTCAGCTTGGACATGTTTTCACCGGAGGTGCAGCAGGAGGCTGTTAGACTCAGTGGGGGCAAGAGTAGTGTTCCTCAGATATTCTTCAATGAGAAGTACATTGGGGGCAACCAGGAACTGCAAGGTGAATATTATCATACTCATCGCCTTACTGGACTTGAAGTTATAGGGAGAAGCCCACAATGTTCCTATTCGATTAGCCTGTTTGAAGTAGCTTTCGGTTAGAAAAAGTTGAAAATTTGAAAAAAAGACCTCTTTTGAAAGTATTCCTCCCACTATCAATGGCGGAGCAATATTAGCCTAGGTGGTAAATTTTTAAATGCTACTTTCATTTGCTTATATATGACGGCAAGGCCAACTATAAATTAATGTTTCGCATCTATTAACTTATCTTAGCAATTAGGCCAAATAGCGCTCGTTTCAGACCAATTTGGAATGTTTTTTTTTGAGCTGGATCAATTCACCGCTAACGCGTTTATAGAACGAAATATATTGCGAGGTATTATATTTATACCTTATTTAATTGGTGTTCCACTTGTAACATGTTTTAGAGGTCCATATCTTGACATATCCAAGCTTTTTCAACATATTTATTTTGCATGTTTAACGAAAGAATTTTTGCTCGTATGAGCTATATCGAATATAACTATGCTTTAGACCTTTTTTCGCTTTACCTGTTTCTAAACTCTAAGCCTATGGTAAGGCGTGCTATAATGTCAGCATGGTAGGGAAGTGTAGTGTGGTGTGTATATGGGATTTTCTTCCAGCTGTATCTATACATTATTTTATGAGCAGTTCACTTGGCAAAGGTTTAGGAAGTCCTCATGTTGACCTGTTGGTAAAAGATAAATACATTGAAGGGCTGAAATGTTACTTCCTCAAGTCGAAAATTTCAAATCTGTTGGAGTGCGAATGCTGCAACTCTTAATTTTCCTGTATTCGTAACACAAATTTGAGGTTTTTGTTTCACTGTTTATTTCACGAATTCTCAAATTCTCATTCCTATGCTGCAAGCTCAAATATGACTGCTTAAATACTTAAAGTCTCCAAGATATGGCGTTTTAAAGATTTTTTGAAGTTGTTTTTAAAAAAGAAAGATTTTAAAAAAATATTGAAGTTTGAATTTCTCAACCCCATTTGAAGCCTTCAAATATGATCGCTCAAATAATTTTAATTTCCAAGATATAGCATTTTTAAGGTTGAAAGTTTCAATCTGAGGTGGGGTGCTGTCAGCGTCCACGCAATGTCTGTAAGTCTGGCCTCTAAATACTCTGCTCAAATCTTTTTGGTTACCAAGATATGGCGTTTTCCATGTTTTTCCGTGTTAAACTAGTTTCAAAAAAACTTTTTCTCTAAAAAGTTTTGAAATCGTTAACCTTGTGGCAGAGTTTTGTAAGGGTAAAATTTGGGGTTATATACACAGTCAGGGTCACATCCGTTCTCAAATTTAACTGGTCAAAATCATTTTACTCTCTGAAATATGGCTTTTTAAAGATTTTTTCAGTTTTTCAAAACTTAGATGAAAAAGATTGAAAAAAACTTGATATTCTCAACCCTATAGAGGGTTGATGTCAAGGTTCGCCTGTGTGTGCAAATCTGGCCTCCTTATAGTACTGCTCAAATTTTTTCGGCTACCGAGATTTGGGTTTTTTTATTGTTTTTTCCTTTATTTTTCAAAAATTTTAGGTTTAAAAAAATTTTCAAAAAGTTGAATTTCTCTAACTACTCCTATAGTTTGCGAGTTTTTCTTTTTAAACATCTCATTTGTAGTTTTCAAGATTTGATAATTTTAGTTTTTTTTTCAACTTTTTTTCACTTATCTTGTTTTTTTTTCGTTGAAAATTTGTTTGATGTTAGCAATTTGAACTGTTAGCAATTGAACCTTAATTGCTGTCTTGTTACAGCTTTAAAACTTTCAAGTTCGTTTTTTTTTGGCCGAGAGGTGACCCCGTTGCCTTGGCACCCTAAGGTCAGGGGCTCGAGTCCCATCCGGACCTCATTTTTTCAGGATGTATGCAATTGACGTTGTTTGGTAAAAAATGAATTGTCGGACTTCTGTTTTTCTGCTCACATTTTGTAGGCTTAATTGCCACATCACCGATTTTATTTGTGCTGCAAGCAACTTTTGTTGTAGATACAAGTGCAATTGTTCTTCAATGTTTCAGGGTGTCTTGAAAGTATTTAAGTTTTGTTTTTTAATTCATTTTTTTCCGGCTCAACTAGTGTCTGCTCAAAGATTGTGGGTTTAGTTTTCTTATAATTGATTTTTTTTTGTTCTGTAAGATGTTTTCATTGAAGTTGCTAGTGCAATTGTTGTTCAATGTAGTGTCAGGGGGGGACTAGAAAGTTTTAGAGTTTTTTAAAACAAAATCTTTTTTTTGGAGCTTAACTTGTCGGCTTAGTTGCCTTATTGCGGATTTTCCTGGTTTTGTAAGCATTCCCTGAAGTTGCAAGTGCAATTTTCGTTCAATGTAGTGTCAAGGGGTCTTGAAAATTTTTACATTTGTTAGATGAGATGATTGTTAGATGAGATGATTTTTTTTGGTTCTCTGCTCAAAAATTGTCGGCTTTGTTTCCATTTCGTAATTTTTGTTCTGTTACTAATTTATGATTAAATTATCTGGCATCTTTTTGCATTGATTTTCTACTCAGACTTACGAAAATTTCAATTTTGGTAGACTTATTTTGAATTTTTCCGACTTCTTAAGTTTTTTTATTTTTGTTATATCGAAAGTGATGCGAAGCTCTGCTTCGCGTCTGTTTAAAAATATGAAAAGTGCAGTTAAATACTGTTGGCTTTTTAGGGCTCTTTTTTGCGTAAAAACTCTCATATCTGATGAAATTCAGTAGTTTTGGAGATATGGATCATTAGGTCAAAAATAACCTAAAAGTTGATTTTATAACTCGTTCAAGTAATGACATAGAAACCCCCTGATGGATGATCGCTGTTTTTGTATGTTTTAGGATTCTTTTTAGCTCAACGATCTATTTGAAGCACCGTAGGTGCGAGTCTTTAGCTAGTTATCTTAAATTAGCAATTTTCAAACCCTCATAAATTTACGAAAAACAATCGCAGGTAAATTAACTTCTTGATTTTGAGCTCAGGGCATCAATATTTTCAGATCAGTAAAGCTTTAGAAAAATTCATTCAAAGACTATTAGTTAAGAAGTCGGAATTGGTATGAAGAAAACGGAATATGAACCAAACCGAGAAAAAAATTCGGTAAGTATCTTTGGAAATCGGAACACGAAGAATAAAAGGTTTTCTTGTGAATATTAGGTATGCAAATACAATTTGCATACATAATCTGGTTTGGCCTTACTGTTGCATAATTTCGTCCGTGCCTCAATGGTAGTTCTAGTAGTTCTAAATGAAGTCGATTGAAGCTTGATCATCAGTGACTGAACAAAAGTTATGGATAGTTGTTTTGAAATCTCAAATGGCGCCTAAAAGAATTTGTTTAGAGCTGATCAACAATAAAGAAGAATGGGACAAGTTAGTTACTTATATAGAGGAAACGGAACCAACAAAAGACAATCCCCAACCGCCAGATGCGTCTCTGGCCAAAAACGAAGAAGCAGCGGGTATGCTGCTGAAATGCGAGGCAGATGAGTATGCGCTGCTGATTGGTCAGCTGAAGTCGGAGGGCGTGATCAGCAGCAAGTCTATGGGTCTCTTCACAAAGGCGAAACAAGGCTTCACGTGAGTTCCCAGTTGTGTATCAGGTATCAATCAATCTATTAAATTCTGAAATTCAGTTCGAAGTGAGCCACGATGAGCGGTCGATTTTTTCCGCAGGAGCTGATGTAAAGATTGGGAGAGCAGTTCTTATGGGTTTGGGTTGGAAGGTAAACTGTTATTTGAAGAGAATTATGAGATCGTATGTTTTTAACATTTTTAAGTGTGTAATTTAGTTTGTTTAAAAGTGTAAAAAACGACTGAATATTTCATAACGATTACCTTGCTGAAGTATTTCCATACTACCTTATCAGAGGTGAATAAATGGTAATTTGTTTAACGTTACTTGCGAGTTGAAAGGAAACATTGCTGCGTTTTATTTAAGTGGCAAGGATTTTGTGAAATGGATGAAGGAGACAAAAGAAGTAGACGAAGCAAAAGCTCGGGAAATAGGACAAGCACTTCTGGACCAGAATTTTAGGTAAAGCGTCCAATTCGCGTTTACTTCAGTCGAATTTTCGAATCGATGAGAAAAGATTTTTAAGTATTTGGTGAACGTACTGAGCTGTTGTTCTATTTTAGTCACAACATAAAGCAACAGCAGTTTAAAAATGACTCAACAGTGTATACGCTCTTAGAAGACACATTCAGCCAGGCACTTAACGCCTCGACTTATGAGTGCGCTGTCGGATCCGCGACTGAAGTCGGCGAGGAGCTGCGTAAGCTCATTCTGAAACTATATGCATTATTTATTTCACCAGATGGGACTGCTGTCGGCTACAGGGGAATGGCAAAAAGCAAAGAGTTTGAGGTCTATGAGAAACTGTCTGCAGAGTTACAACGTGTTGATGTTGCTAACATTACTCGGAACGATAAAGTGGCCTTTTTCATTAATATATACAATGCCATGGTCATCCATGCTACTATAAAGAAAGGGGCGGCTACGAATCTGTGGGCGCGCTATAAATTCTTCAACTGTTCCTATTATATAATAGCTGGAGAGCTCTATTCTTTGCAAGATATCGAAAACGGGATTCTAAGAGGAAACAAAAAAGGCGTGGGGATGCTGAGGGTGCCGTTTCAAAATGGAGATCCACGGAAAGAGTTAGCCTTGGAAAAAGCGGAACCGCTGATTCATTTTGCATTGAATTGTGGAGCTAAAAGTTGTCCCCCGATCAAAACATTTTCTCCAAAAGGTTTACAGGTATAAAATTATAAAATATATCACATCAATAGTTCGTTGAAAAATTGTCTCTAAGTCAAGTCGGAAGTGATAACCCATAGTTAGACCTGGGTTTTTAAACGCGCGTACTAACATTTATTTGTAAAAATGTTTTCCAATGTATTTCCTGACTTATTTTGAATTACTTTTCGTGTCTTCGCTTTAATTCTTCAATTGCGTTTTATAAATTACAGGAGCAGTTGACTACAGCAACTGTGTCGTTCTTGGAGTCAGAGGAGAACTGTTCAGTGGATGAGAAAAATGGTACTGTGACTTTGAGTGAAATATTCAAGTGGTACAGAAGCGATTTCGGAAACAGTGACTTGGAAGTGTGTGAGTTCCTGTTAAAGTATGTTCGAGATGAGAACAAGAAGACTGGTTTGGAGAAGCTACTGGCAGATAAAAAGGTCAAATTGAGATACTCGAAGTACGACTGGGGACACAATGGAAAAAAAGATTAATCGATCTGTACAAGAAGTGTCATTATCAGATGTGAAACCACACATGTATGCATGAAATAACGATGCTTAGTTTAGCGAATTCTAAATGTGCTGGAAATATCTGCTTCTATCCATATCATAATTATAAAAGATTTTTCTGAGCTTTACATTTGAACAACTGATTATTTTTATCTGCCAATATTAATTGGATGTTTAAGTGCCAATGAACACAGTGAAGTTACTTTACCGGTCGTGTCGATTTCACACCAAGTTTGATCTTTCGCGGTTTGACTTTTGATTTCTATTTAAGTTTCTGAAAAATTCATTTGCGAAAAAGAAGGCAAAAAACGCTTTCCGATTACGAAGCAGAAATAGCGAGAAAAAGCATGAACGACTTCTAAATTAGCAAAGTGGATTTTATTTTAAGGAGTAGAATTTATCTTATTTGATAAAACACGTGTCTTCAGAATGTTTCCGCGCCATATTTGAATAACTAGTGCAACATTTGAAACACTAGTGCAATATTTGAAATACTAGTGCAAAATTTTTCCCTGAATAATCAACCAAAACAAATTAGAAAGAAAAAAAATGCGTGTTATCGTGAAAATTTTTCAAATGTGTTTTGTTCAATTTTTTTCACCTTTGTTTTTTTTTACCAGATGCGTTGCAACTCGAAGTTTGTTCACATCTTAACACAGCGTCTCGATTTGTTCACAAATTTTCTCGATGCAATATATAGCTGTTGCTTATCTACAAGATTCAGTTGTGGGTTAATTTTATTAATTTAATGATTTAATTTTAGGCACTTATTTCGGTTTCCTTATTTCGGTTTTCCAATTGTCTGTTGCCTATTTTTGTAGTGTTAGTGCTCCTGTTTGTTATCATCTTTTTGTAAATTGTGTATATTTAGCAAATAATATATTTAATATCTTGAGAGAGTAAATGCAATAAGTTCCAGATTAAATTGTCTATAAAGATTTGAAAATAAAAGAATGTTTGTTTTTGCTTAATAAACTAAGATGGAGTTTTTTCAGATAAATCTGTAAATATGTGGACCACTCGCTACGCACACCGTCTGGCCAAACCAAGCTCTAGATGTATGTCCTCGAGTGCGGCTGAAAAGGTCAGAGTCACTCTGTTCCCGGGTGACGGGATCGGCCCCGAAATCTCATCATCAGTCCAGAAAATCTTCTCGGTAGCGGATGTTCCAATCGTGTGGGAACCGGTAGACGTCACACCCGTGAAGTCTCCTAGTGGCAAATTTATAATACCCCCTGAGTCACTAGAGCCCATGAAGCGAACAAAAATAGGGCTGAAGGGACCTCTGGCAACTCCTATAGGCAAAGGTCACCAGTCATTGAATCTGGCTTTGAGAAAGGCGTTCTCACTGTATGCAAATGTGAGGCCATGCAAGTCTGTTGTGGGATACAAGACAGCCTATGATGATGTGGACATAGTGACTATAAGGGAGAACACAGAGGGAGAGTACTCTGGAATTGAACACGAGATCGTGCCGGGAGTGGTTCAGGTGATCATCAACGGCTTAGCTAGTTTCAATTCAGCTGATGCAACTTGAGCTGAGATGCCTCAATAAATTTGTTTGAAATTTTTAACGGAAAGCAAATTACGCTCCTATTAATTTACGAAAATGCAAATAGCTCGAAAAAGTGTGATCGACTTACTGATTCGAAACTGGATTTAAATTTTCCAGCGGAATATAAATTCGCCGATTAATCCAGTTTTCTTAAACTGGGTTATTTTTTCAACAATAAGTCTAATAGAAGGTTCTGGAAATTGAAGAAATCTAAGGTGATATACATTTTATTCTCTGAAACTCCAATGTTGTTTTTTTTTCGAAAAAATTCATTTTTTTTGTTCTCGAGTTTATTTACATTTTTACGCCAGTGAGCAGCAAGTGTTTTAGTACGAATCTTCTTTTTTTCTAACCTAACTCGCCATTAAAAGTTTTCACTTGTGTGCCTTTTTGCGATAATCACGATCTGTAGCATTGGAAGTTTCATAGCATCTGTTCTCGGCTTTATTTGTGGCTAGTGTTGATGGACTTAGTGAGTCGTTAGTGCGTTTTTATGTCGCAGTAGGTTTGAGTACGAGACGTCACCGAATTTTTACTAATTCGAGGCTTATTTTTACTTTTTCTTACTGCAATTTTTAGAACTCTAGGTCTGCTTTTTGTCGTGTTCTCGCTAGTGTTTGCAAAGCCCAGCTTCGCTTGTTCCAATTTTCTGTTGTCTATGTTTTTGAAGCTCAGCAAAGTGATATATACGAAAAAACTCATTGTATTGTGGTGTCTTTTGCTGCAGAGCATCAAGGTGATAACTGAGAATGCATCGACAAAAGTGTCCAAGTTCGCATTCGACTTCGCCAAAGCGCAAGGAAGACGCAAGGTCACAGCAGTGCACAAGAGCAACATCATGCGCATGTCGGATGGCCTGTTTCTGGACTGTTGCAGGAGGATGAGTGAGAAATACCCAGAGATAGAATTCACAGAGATGTATCTGGACACGCTATGCATGGCAATGGTACAAGACCCAAGTAAGAACACATTAGTTGCTGCAATTATGGAACCTTAAGGCTTCAAGATAACGTGCACTTTTTCATAATTGCAAAGTGTCCGTATTACGAAACCTGGATTGATTTGTGCTTTCACTATGTACGCTTTTAGAACAATTCGATGTTCTGGTGCTTCCCAATCTCTACGGTGACATCTTGAGTGACCTGTGTGCCGGCCTCATAGGGGGACTAGGACTCACTCCATCTGGAAACATCGGAGCAGATGGAGTGGCGATCTTCGAAGCAGTGCACGGAACCGCACCCGACATTGCTGGACAGGACAAAGCTAATCCTACAGCCCTTCTACTTAGTGGAATCATGATGCTGCGTCATCTTCAGATGCACGATCTAGCACAGAAAATCGAACAGGCAATCTTCAAAACGATTACGGAAGGGAAATATTTGACGGGAGATTTGGGAGGGAAATCCTCCTGCTCGGACTATACAAACGCAATCTGTGATAATCTGTAGTTTCTTAACCATTCTTGAATCTAACTGATGAATATGAACATAGACACTTTGAAAAGATGTAGTTCTCACTAACTCCATTAGACTGGCTAATTTTTACAACGGTGAATTAAATGAATTGAAAATATGTTCCATTGCCCTTGCGATAAGCAAGGGTGTTGCAGCCGGGTATTAGACTTTTCTCCTGTGAATTACTTAATAATTAATTCTCTTGTGAATTAACATAATTAATAGTTAACAAGGTCCAAAATGGGGAGAAGGGATAGTTAACAAGATCCCACAGCATGAATCAAACTAGGGGTCATCTCCAAATAGGAATTATCGACAAGTAACAGACAAACTTTGAGCTTTTAATGTATTTTAAATGCGCGTTCTCTTGGAAATTTGTTTTTATGTTGGTTAAATATATCAACTCCGATTTCAGTATCCGTTTTTTTTCTTTTTCGGCTACGAAGGTTTCGCCTTATATTATAGCGTTGTAGCGGCCTCATTATGAGTGGTTTGATAAGCGAAATAAGGTAAACTAAATGTTATGAGGATTTGATTTTTTTTGGGGGCTGAACGTGTGTCTCCTCATTAGGGCGATAATTTGTTACAGGCGACAATTCGCAACAAGGCATTGGCAAGAAGAATACGCTTGCTCCGCTGCGCTTACATCCTGCTTGTGAGTTAGCGTTGCCCGCTTAATCTACTGTTACGAAATGTCACCTGTTACGACTCGTCGATTAATACTAATTTTCGCCTGCAACGAATTGTCGCCTCACGGTCCTTAAGTATTTACAGATTTTTTACTGCTTTTTTTCCGTTTTATTTCGATGCTCAATTAGAATTCAATTGTCTTGCTTGGCATGTTTCACTCAGAAGGAAATTTATTTGATAAAAATCAAGACAAATATATGAAAATTGCGGTAGATATTTTTGTTTCGACAAAAAAATTCTGTGTTTTTTGTCTGATTTTCTGCCGGTTAATTTGACATACTGTTTTTGTAGTGTATCGCAAGTGGCGCGAAGCTTTGCTTCGCCTCTGTGTTAAGTAGTCAAATGTGTGAGCACGCCTAGTCTTGGAGGCGAAAGTGAGTGACCAAATTTAATTCCATTACGATTATCAGAATGAGGAGGAAATCGGTAATATTGGCCTTGTAATTTGAGATAATTATATACGCATCATAGCTATCGAAACTGAGTTTGAATTGAATCAATGTGTCCTTGGGTGGTACAGTGAAATAATTGATCCAGTTAATTGTTCGATCTATGGCGTCCACGTGATCACCTTGATGGCCATGTCCACTGCCGTTTGCACTGCAAGGCTCGAATCATTTCTCATTTTCTCGAACTACATAAAAAGATGACGAAATAGGACGAAAAACACTCTTTTCAAGACAGCATTTCAAAAAGCAGTAACAAAGCCGACAGTCTTGCCACACGATGTTTATTAGATGAAAAGTGCAAGAGCATCTGCAGTTGAGCTGTTCAATTTTTTTGAGTGATGCTATTTTTCGATAAAGAGCAAATGGCAATTTTTTCTCCTTGATATTTTATCGATTGGTATTTTATCGCGCAAAAACGGTAGTTGAACTCAAGTAGTCACAAAAAGCTTAAGAATATGTTAAGTATATGATTTTTGTGGAAGCAAAAAGGCTGCAAACTGCCGATACTTTTGTGCGAAAAATGTGAAGCTTACCCTATTTGTATTCACTCTAGTTACCTCTCCCTCTCTTTATTAGTCAGGACTCACTAGTTATGGGATTTTTACTCTTGCGAGATCAAGTCTCTTGTAATCGTGAACTAGACTTTTAGGGTTCAAGCCCAGGCAGGCTTTTTTCTATTTTTCAATAGTATGATATTTTTTTTCCGATAAATACTGAATCGTCGGGCTTGCGTTTGTCTGCTCTAGTTTTGTCGGCTTAGGTGTCACATGGATTGTTTTAGTGCTGTAAGCAAGTATCATGTTATTTGCAAGTGTTGTTCATTGTAGTTTTTACGGGGGGGGGGACGGCTTAAAATTTTCATAAAATCATTTTTTTTTGGCGCAATTGATGTCTGCTCATAGATTTTCTGGTGGCTTTGTTTCTGCTTCGTAACTTTTGTTGCTGTTTGATAGAAACAGATTTTAGAAAAATGTATGGGATTGAGTTTTTCTAACTTTTCAAGGATTTAAATTTTTTTGCTTTTCTCAAAATATTAAGTTATTCTCAAAAACCTATTTACCATCTTAATAAAAGTGGTACCAATAGAAAGACCGCCAACTCTTTGAGATGCCCGCTAGCCTCTTTTCATCCTACCTTTTTTGCTACATCCTTCGAAAAACTCCGTAGGTTTTCTCGAAAACTATCCTCCCAAATGTGAGATTTTGGTTTCAATGGTGGAAAGGGTACACATGCGGGTAAGCCTAATTTTTTTTATCTGTTGTTAGAAATTTTAAAAACTTTTGGAAAACTAATTTCCCAAATCTGATAATTTGATTTGCTTCAAAAGTACGGGTTTTGGGAAGCTTCGTTCCCTAAACGGCTGTGTTCAATGTTTTTACGGAAACTCCTGAAAATTAGCGGCTAAGTTTTTTTACGCGAAAAATATGACCCTCAAAAAAGTCATGCTTGAGACTTTTTGACCGTTTTGTCAAACTTGTTGGATTTTGTCTGAAACTACCCTACCAAATCTGAGATTTTGGGCTCAATAGAGAAAACGGGTTTTTAAAAGGGACAGTTATGAAGGGACAGTCAGAGAAGTCGAAATACTGATTTTTGACCGTTTTCAATTTTGAATCAAAATTGTGAACTTTTGCCCGTTTTTTTCGAACTTGTATTTTTCTCGAAAACTACCCTACCAAATCTGAGAATTTGCTTTCAATTGAAAGAACGGGTTCTAGGAAACTGCATTGCTTAAGTGGCTCAATCCAAATTTTCTTATGCCAAAATATATGCCATTGTTGAAATCAATTTAGGATTTAGACCGTTTTTGAAGCTTTTTGTCCTGTATCGAAAACTACCATCTCAAATACCAGATTTTGGGTTCAATCAAAAAGAAAATTTTTTTAGCAAAACTCCCCTGTGTAGGGGGCGACATCGAAAACTTCTAACAAAAAAAGGTTACGGCCCTCAAAAAAATCATTGCTTTGTTTTCGTGTCCGATTTTTGGAACGTTGCGGCTCTTCTCGAAAACAAGTCAACCTGATATCAAGGGTTTATTCGTGGCAACAATTTGTAAAGAAATAACTGAGTTTGGGCAAAATTCAATTTTTGAGCTTTCTAATTTACCTATTTCATCACATCAGTGCAGAAAAGCAATAACTTTCAAACAGGTACCTCCAGCTTTTTACTGGAACCCTAGCCTTGTTTGATAAAAACAAATAAAATGAAAATGTATTGAGTTGGATTTTTGGGAAATGTTATGGCCTTTGGAAAATTCCATTTGAAAATTTTCGAGCGTATTTGGAAAAGTTCTGACTTTTCTCGAAAGTTTCTTTCCCAAATCTTAGATTTTGCGTTCAATCAAAATAAACGGTTGTGGTAAGCTAATCTTTAAGCTCAAGTTATGGCCCTTGAAAAAGTCTATTTGGCTTTTCTACTGTTTCTTAAAATATTCGAGTTTTCTCAAAAATTACCCTGCCAATAGTTAGGCTAAGTATTCAATGGAGGAACCCGGTTTTGAAAATTTTGCAGCTTAATTGGCCACGACATTTTTGCAGAAAAAAAAGTAATGTATTTCGGAAAGTCAGATTTTTGAACTTTGAACTTAAGCGAAATTTTTTTTGACAATATAATTTAAAGATAGTTTTTCCTGTACAAGCGGCGACTTTTGATTTTTTGTTAGAAAAATGTTAGTTTTCCAAGATAAAGTCCATTTGAAATAACACATTTCATCCCGCATCATTATAATTAATTCAAAAAATATCAAAGAGCTGCCTCCAACTTAAGCTGGACCTCTAATTATATTTTATCACGACATACGAAAATTTGTTTCACCTGGTTGAATTCAACATTTTTCATTTTTCGACTAATTTTGTTTGTTGTGTATCGCAAGTGGTGCGAAGCTCCGCTTCGCCTCTGTGTAACTATTTAGTTTTTACGATAATTTTTTACGAAGTTATTGGGTAGCCCATCAGAAAGCTAAACTCACTGCCCCTCTCCACCAAAATCTACAAAAATTTATTACGAAAGCTTTTTGCGATGTTTGTGGTTGGAGGATTCCCCTGCTACTTTATTTTGTTTATATTTTTGGAAATGGATAGTGAAAATAAGTATTATGAGTGCTTGTACAAGGGCTTTAAGGTGACATAAAACTTGAGAGTTTCAAATTCTTTATACAATATATTTATCATTTTTCGACTTCGTGGCTGTCATCTCATTTTCTGTTGCTTCTTCAATGTGCTAAATGATTGCTTAATTATTTATCAAAATTCTGACCTTATCGACTTCGTTCATAAGTCGCTTTCTTCCTTCGGGTGCCTCTGAAAGACCAGTGAGAGCCTGTAAACAAAAACATTGTTGTGCACAATTTTTGAGAGCTTGGAACGCCATAATCTGCGAGTAACTAGAGTTACATAATTGCAGTCAATTCGTAAAAATGCTTTTTATTACCGCAATCACGTTACTCCTGGAAAAGCTATCGCTGATATTCGTGCTTTTTAATGGTTATTAATTGTACTCTAGGGGTTTGAACGCAAGACATTCTGTGAAATTCAAGTTAATAGGCAGTTATTTCAGGGAAGTATTAAAATTTTATTGTACATGGATGTCACCTCTTTTTAGCCGATGACCTGATTGCGAATTCTCGAGCAAACAGGGCTGTGCTAAATTGGACCACAAAATTGCGCAAAATATATGTTTCTCTTGAACCGTTATGAATCTTTCATCATTATAAATAGCGCTAAATAATGGCGATTTTGGAAAAAAAGTTTTCCGAACTTTGATAGATTTCGACCAGAAAATGGCATTTTATGCGCACGCACCCCTGTGCAAATTTTGAAGAAATGTTGCATGCAACCTTGTCCCCTAAATTAGCTAGGTGGCCTGTGATCTACGCATTTTTTCCGTTTCCCTCCACCTCAACAAAGCAACCGAAATAAGTGATTCTTAAAATTTTAGATCATCCAATTTTCAATTAACTTGGCCTGCTAACTATGTTTCTTCATATATTACCTTGTAAAAGTACTAATGCGCCATAAAATTGTCACTATTTTATGGCGCAAAAGTAGTTTTACAATTAATATATGAAAAAAAATAGTTAGCAGGCCAAGTTAATTGACAATTGGACAATCTTGAGTATCAATTATTTAAGCCTAGTTATTTTTGTTCAAGCATACAGAGATTTGAATATATAAACTTGAATATAGAGATTTGAAATTTGCGTACAGTGATTTGAATATGTCAACTTGAATATCTAAACTCTAAGTATCAACAAGATTGCTCGTATCAGGGCAAAGCCCTGAATTTTTCGACTGCCTTTTAAGGTTTATGGAGCAGTATTAACATTAAAAAAATGTAATAAAACAAGATAAAATTTTTTTTCTAAATCATCCACTCACATGCCATTTAAAGAACAAAAGGATAGATTTCGCTCCTTGTAACAAAAAAATTATGGCATATAAGCTTCTTTCAACCAATTTTGAAGGAGTTCTAAAACGGATTAACTCTCCGCCTACGCGTTAATAGCGCGAAATAGATCGCGCGTTAATTCTCCCCAAATTGGCCAAAATGGCAATCTTTAAACCCCATAACCGAACAAAAAATGATCACGGGTGAAATATCGTTTTAGATTTGAGCTCAGGACAACAATATATTTCAGATGATAAAAAAAGTTCTGTCAAAAATGGCTAGTAAAAAGTCGAAATTTGTCAGAAGAAAAAAAAGTCCACCCGAGCACAAATATTCCTTTACTTTTCTATCGAAGGTCGGAACAATAATTTTCTTGTTCACAAATTGTGACCAAAAATTATTATTGAATATTTCTTAAGAAAAGACGTAATTTTGGACTGTTCGTTAATCTAAGACCCCTTAGGATTAGTTATTTTGAGTCAATGAACTTTTTGAGCATTGAAATAGACGAAATTTTTCTTTTACGTTATGCTGTTTTGCTGCTCTAGTTAATTTGCATATCCAAAAACAAACAAGACTGTCCGTATCAGGACGAAGCGTTGAATGTTCCGACTGCCTTTTAAGGTTTATGGAGCAGTAATAACATAAACAACATAAAAAAATTAAATGAAATAAAAAAAAATGAAAAATTTTTCTTTCTAATATTTGAAATTTTTTTCGTGACAATCATCCCCCACAAGCCATATAAAAACAAAACAATAGATTTCGCTTTTTGTAACAAATCAATTATGGCAAATGAGCTTCTTTCAACCAATTTGGATCGATTTCTCAGACGGATTAATTATCCGCTTACGCGTTAATAGCGCGAAACATATTGCGAGTTAATTGTCCCAAATTCGCCGAATCGGCAATCTTTAAACCCATTAACTTTACAAAAAACGTCCACCGGTAAAATTTTTTTCCAAGTTTAAGCTCAAGACAACAATACCTTTTGAATGATAAACAAAAATGCTGTCAAAATGGCTAGTTAAAAAGAAAAACTTGTCTGAAGAAAAAAAACCCACCCCGAGCACAAATATTCCGTTACTTTCGTATCAGAAGTCAGTGCAACAACCTGTATTTTTTGGAGATGTTATAATTCAAATTTTAATTTGAACCTTAGTTTTTTGGACCACTTGCTTTAGGTTAAAAAATAGTAGATATATTTAACCAAATATGAGTACTAAATTCTTGCTATTAAATTTTTTTTTTCAAATGGAAATCAGTCAATTATCTATTTGGTTCATTTTTCAACATTTTGTTTCGTTTAGGTCCACGTTTTACCTTACTAGCAGAGTCTGCACATAGCTAGCCAAATTCATTCATTGTAGAACATCCGTAAGTATTTCTCTAGTGTAAGAAATCATGGTCTCAGCCAAGACTCCTCCACTTGGTCCTTGTGCCTCGGAAGCACACACTGGAAGCACGGAGCACGGCAAAAGACAGCCGGCACTTCACCCAGTTCATAGTTTTACTATAGGGTTTCTCCCACTTGGTAGATAATGCTTCTCCTATTCTCCGAAGGAAATTTGTAAATTCTGGAGCAAGCATCTCATCAACAGACACGACAAGAGGAGCGAAAAACATGTCTTTCCTGACACGCGTCTGAATATTTTCTTTTTCTCAACCTCTGCTGAGTGCAAAACACTCATGGGGCTTGTGATCTGATAGGAGATGGCGTCGGTGTCAGAGAAACGAATATTAAACGACGCTCCTCCCTGTCTTACATAAACTCCACGACAAAACAAATCTGCAATTAATGCGGGTGTCTCATCTTGCGGGTTGTATTCTCTAATAACAGGCTCTCTCTGTACATCCTTCCACACTAAAGAAGCTAAGTCGCCTACAGCATCCCTAATCTCATTGTGCGGTAAAGTTAAAAGACCACCTTTTTTGCACGCTAACGCATGCCGTAAGGTGAACGGTGACTGGCAACCATCACAAAAAGTTGGCGAAGCTATCAAGTTTTTGTTATACCGGACACTCAATGCACCCCAAAACTTCACTTCCGAAAAATCAAAGTTTTCTGCAGCAATCGGTAACGCTGTCAGCCAGGCGGACAAGCTTTCTTTTTTGATTCTTTTTACTACTCGAACTTGGTCTGCAGATAGCTCATTCAATAACTCCCCCAACAACTCTTCATGTTTTTCTTCCATTATTCGATGTTTTTTTTTCGCGATCGAGACATTTGCTTTCTGTGGTTTCCATGGGAAAAACCGTGCTGATCAACAATAGCATCATAAAGAACCGTAACTGCTTCCCGTGACGTGTTGTAAGACTCATCAGCAAAACTGGTTGGGTTAGACACTCCAAGAACACCCTTTCTTGCTGGCAAACAAAAGAGACGTTTCTCCATTGATGAAATCGACGAAGTTCCAAGTATCGCAGGTAAGAATTTCTCCATCAGAAGGTTCTCTAGCGGTTGAAAAAGCTGACTAGAATCACCCAAAACACGATGGGAAAAATTTCATTCCGCTTGTAGGGACATAGTCAGTCCTGATAAAGCACATTGTGGTTCTGTTTTTGCCACAAAAGAAAGTTTCTCATTTTTGTCTACCCATTCAAGTTCTTTCTTTTTTAGGTAGATGTCCTTCTCATTTCCGTCTCCAATGAAACCGCCCAAAAACCTCTTCTTTTCCACTATAGTAATCGAGTACTTGTCAAATATATGATGCGCTTCTTCAGTATATTGTTTATCGACAATCAGAAAACTTTTGGAAAGCTCTGGAAAGTAACCGAAGGCGGGACCTTCCTCAATCAAGTTTTTGAGCCATATCTCCAGTTTCTTGAGTTTTGCTATGGCCGCAGAATCATCAACATACCAACTTTGTAACACATTGTTCGGATCCTTTAACTTCCGAATCAGGGGAAGAAGTGAAACACCATAGAAGAACATTGTCAGTGGGTCTCCCTGTGTGGTTCCTTCCCTACTGTATATCACTTCATCGGCGCCAGCAACAAAAAGCGACGCGAAACCTCTGTATTTTTTGAAGAGGAATCTAGAACATCTAGGCCACAATATTCGAGCATTCGACAACGCTGTTTCACAATTGAGCGAGTTGAAAGCATTTGATGCATCCATCAACAGCATGCCACAGCCATCTTTCTTGTTGTCATCAAAAACATCAGAGAGCGCATGAATTGTACCTTCAACGCCAGCTTTCAGCCCACAAGCTAATTGATCAGTTGAACATGTTTCTTCAAGGTCAATTTTCGTGAACTCAGTCACATTTTTGCAATTTATTCTCAGTAGACACTCGTCTATGCCAAGAGGTCGCACGCCAAGACATTTATCAAGCGCAATCAATCCTCCAGAAACCAGTGCTCGCACTTTCGACCATGGTAAGATTTGATTGCACATTTTTGTGGCGAGAGTTGCAACTTCGTCTCTCAAGTGTGAACTGTGAGCCCCATGACGTAATAAAACCGTCTGCCAATCTCAGAATCTGTTCCCGAAGCTCCCGAACTGCCCTGCAAAGAACGTGTCGTCTTTTCAATGGAAGCAGAACTGATTTTAACATCTTCAAAATCGGGTAAAACTGGCACTTACAATCGAGAAGAGAGATGTGACTTGTTTGGCTCTGGATGCTTTGACTTCAAAGTCTCTAAAACGGTCACACCTTTCTTCACCTCTTGCATCGGATCAAGCACACCCCCGCTTGCTCTCTCCGAGAGCCACCGCATAGCACTTCTTACTTTGCCTTTCATCATTAATGAAGCAAACACTTTCGAGACATGTTTGTCGTCCAAATTATCTTGATTTATTTGTTTCTTTTTGCCACATCTCACTGCTTGCGCCAACAACTTGTCGAATTTCTTTTCCTTCCACTCTTCAATGCGCCGTCCAAAAGTGTTCGAATGTCTTTTGATGCTTTGATCACTGGATCTCTTTGTAACAAAACACGACTCATCACCAGAACTCTTTCTGACGTGGAATCAGCCGTGGTAGAAAGAAGCTTTAGTTCATGGGTCAGGAGGTCTACGTACTTCCTACCAGTGTTACCATTAGGCAAAGTATATAGTCTTTTTGGCAAAAGTACACTTTTCAATCATCTTTCAGTCCAAATCGAATGATCAAGACAAGTTGATTTGTCAAGTGACGCACCGAATGCTTTCATCATTATGTCTTCGTCATGGCTTTTAAGATTCGGATCAGTTTCTGGTACCACATCTTCTATTTGCAGGTCTTGCATGGCTAATCCTGTGTGCGACATTGCTTGTCGGTGTAACATTAACGCGGTCATTGTTATCTTGTGATATTAACAAGTCTTCCACTTCAAACCCGCTGGTATTGGAAACACTGAGCTGCGAATCAGAATTATACCCCAGATAACTAGGCGGTTTGATAATTCTCTGAGTCCTCCTCATGATATCAAATCAAAGCACAACCGTGGAAGTGAAACCTCTTGTTTCACGAAGAAAAGAAAACCAAAAGCAGCAACTCCGAGATTATGAAATCTCTGGTGTCACACTCAGTACAACGAACGATATTCTGTTCCGCAAGCCAACTCTGCTGCAAAAACGAGCGTTCCTCGAACCAAACTCGAACTCTTCCCGAGCACTGGCCACTCTGCTCCAGAAACAAGCTCCTCTCCAAACACGAGTTCCAAGCACCGGCTCTGTACCAAACACACACGAGCTCCAAGCACCGGCTCTGCATCCAACACGAGCACCAATCCACAAATAAGCTGTACTCCGAACACGTGCTCTGCTCCAAACTCACGAGTTCAGCTCCAAACACGAGCTCTGATCCAAATACGAGCACTGCTTGAGATAAAATGTCCGCTCAGTTGTCGATGTTGCAGTGGTTTTTTTCTTGCTTAACAAAACACGTGCATAACTTGTTCTCCAAATTCAAAAAGTTTGCTATTAAAAAATTTTGTTCTCATTGAAATTGTGTCAGTTTTTTTTAAAAAATTAACCCGATATCATTTTTTGTCTAATTAATCATAGACTTGAAATAACTTATAAAGTTTTATCGCTATTCTGCGGCTTAGAAGAAAAACTCGTAATAGCTTGCGGGATGTCCTACATTTTAACATCATTCAAATTTACTTAGCTGTTACCGCATCTAGTCAAATATACCGTACCTAGTCTTTTTCTTCCTTAATTAATTAAATCCTGACAAGTTGACCCGCATTTCATAACTCTTATAAAGTTCTATGAAACCCTAATCGCAACTTCAACTTCTTTTTAGTACTTAATAGCAAACTCATTCATGCAATCAAACAGTCATTCAATAGCATGGTTGATGTCAGTTATATACGCTAAAACGAGGCTTCCTAAATAAAAAAGGACTCAAGGATATATATATTTTTTTTTGGTTTAAAGATTCCACTGAACCGTTGTGATTGCTAGGAAAACATGAATCAAGTTAATTTTGCTAGATCATAGCCACTAGACGCATTTATTTCTTTCTGACATTGTCATGTTATGCTGTGCGCCAATCACAAACACCATGAACACCGAACAAAAATTATGATGGAGTCTTTTTTCCGATTTACAGTTCCCTGTAAACACTAGCTAATTCTTATAACGTCAGGTCAGCAATTTTAAGGAGTAATGAACGTAGTGAAGACTCTTATATAGGTCTTGCTGATTTTTTTTTTCATTTTTTTTTCAGGAAAAAGTCAAGATGTTGATGCACTTAGGTATAAAGCACTTTTTGAGTTCAATTGAAATTCATCTGCTGAAGGTGACGTAAATAGCACTCTCCAAATACGAACGTGAAAATGGCGCCGAAAAACATGCGTTCATTACTCTTTTCCAATCTTCGATTGGCTATGTTTTTTCAAGCAAAAAAAAACGATTTCTCCGACTACTGAGTTCGCTAAAAGTATCAAACAAAATTATATATGACAAAACAACGATTTAATTAAAACACGTGGAGTGTCTTGAGGTTTCGGCGGTAAAACCACGGCCCCAAAACGTCTGAAATTTTTTTTAAAGGCTCAACTCGACAACGTACACCAAGCGTTAAGTTTGCCTGTGCTGTTTTGCAAGTAACAGAAAATGTGATCGTTTGCTCAATTTTCTCTACTAAGGACAAATTGGTTTAAACGGTTTTTTACACAAGCAAACTGCTGCTAGGAGAAAATATTCCTCTCCGCGCAAAACCACAATTACTAAAGTATTTGAAATAATTATCGAGTTTACGAATAATTCTGATGTTGACCCAAAAAAATGCTGTAAAGTTTAAAAAAATTTTTTGGTTAATCGATGGAACCTTTTGAGTTGCTCTGAAATGTTCTTGAATCATTTCAGAGACCTTGATTCAATTAGCACCAAATTGCGGGCCTGAAAGAGTTTGCGATAGTTTCATGCCCGCATTTTTGGTTTTTAAAAAGTTTTCTGGCGACCCCCTAGCTTGCGTTTTTCTCGGTGCAATACTGCACGCAATCAAATTCAAGACAAACTAGTTTTCTTATTTGAAACTATTGAAGTTTCATTGATTGAAAGGGCTCTAGTTTTTGACGACACCACCGATGAAACTTATGAGAGACTTGTAATATCTAATAAAGTTATCTTGGTGCTGCAGGTACTATAGGGTTACCAGTATTGTCATACTTAAGGTCACAACACCCGTTCTCCACCGGAAAATGTTCATCAACAGATGGTATGTTAGCCCTTTGTCTTCTCACTTTCAATGGCCATCTTAAGAAGTGGCGAGGAATGGCGTTTGATTACCTTGACGGCGTTGAGTCTGACGGCACTGTGAGTATCCTCCAGATTGAGCAGCAGTGTCTCGATCGCATTGTGCTCTATGGCCTGGTATTTTCCCTGGGTAGTGATCGCAATGCTGAAACACTAGAGGCGTTCCCACTTGAAATCTCCAATGCGCACTTTGGCCGACAATTTCTTACCGTTTTACGGCTAAAAATTTTAGTAGACCATTCATGCCATTTCTCTGAAGGCTTCTTAGGCGCCAAATATAATTTTACAAGTTTAAGAGGGAAAGATCTTGTGATCAAATATTTTCCCTAAACTAATCAAATGAAACACGTCCCTGTGAAAATAAGCCCATTTATGATGCAATAATTTAATGTGCAAAACTTTTTGTTCTGATTGGCTGAAAAAGATAACTCGTAGCAGTAGCATGCGAACGATTTTCTGCCTAAATCATTCATTCACATGGCTGTTGGTCGATCATGATGATACTTACAACATGATGGCAGCTGCACAGTTGGCCCTCACTTCCGGCTCCTCATCCGCCATCAGCTCAATCAGTCTCTTCATACTGCCCACCTCGTGCGCTTTCACTTTACCCGCCAGGGGAACACTACGACAACAACACAAAAAATAAATAGCTTGGACCAATTTAGTTCAACATCCATCTCCCACAATAGACCAAGTAAAGGCCTTCCAACTCAGTTTAAATTGAAAAACTTTGCTAATCTTTGAGCGCAAAAGATTCTCTTCCGATAGATTGAAATATTCAGCTAAGAGTCAAGGTTCTCCAAAACCTCTTTGGAGTTACGACTGCTTACTTGTTTAATCTTATTGAGATCGACCCAGAAACAGTAATCAAATGATCACCAAATGACTATTTGAAAAGGCCGAATTAATTAGTTTGAGAGGAAAGAAGATAGTTGAAAACGACTTCAAAAGAGGTCTGTTTCGATTTTTTTGACATCCAAGCAGTCAGACCATGACTCTTCAGGGCCATACCTGAGATCCATGATGTCCCTTGCAGCTTTAGCCCTGATGTGTGGGTCATGATGGTCAAGGAGACTATGAAACACCTGCATTGCGCCTGAATTGAGAGCATCCTCCGTGTTCACTTTCAGACAGAAATGAAGCGTGTCCAGAATGGAGCCCTGAACATATATATCAACTATTTCTAACAGTCAGTGACTTGTATGACTAAAAGCGTACTTAAAACAATATTTATGAGAGCTAATTTTTATGGTTTTACAGTAACTGTGCATTTTATTTTGCAGAATGGGAAGTGAGTTTATGAGTAACTTCAGATAAGGTACACCGTCTGTTCATCACGCTATCTTATTTTTGGCCAGATAGATTCGTGCAAATTCTTAGTCTAATACCAATCTTAATGTTACTCTTGTATCTCCTAGGCTCAATAGATCTAGTGTATACTGGTATTTGCGAGTTAGTCTTGGAGCTTGTCCAAAAGAAGAACAACTGTAGCCTAAGATTTATTAAAATTGTTCTGGTGCTGAAACTACAAGTAGTTTCAGCACTACAAATAATTGTCACTGTTAGTGATGGAATATGATTGGTTAGTTAGTAAAATTATATAGAGATAGTTTTATCACTAATAAAACTGGTTTATATAAATACTAGTCCAGAACTGGCTCCACCCATCCGGGGTTTAGAGAGTTTTTAGTTTTTAAATTGTTTTTTGTATTGAAGGACGGATGGCGAGGTTTCTTATTCTTGGGGTAGTTTTCTTTTCAGTAGTTGGAGCACTGACTTCGTGAAGAGAGGAGAGATGAAGTTGTTTGTTTGTGTAGAGAAGAGAAGAACAGTTGTTCGTGTTCCAAAAGTGGGTCTCGTTTGATCATGGGTCTTCTTGAGTGATTGTGTCAAGATTTTAGATCGGTGCAATGATGTATCAATTTCGTTAAGCTTAGAGCGAGACTACTTGCAAGATGAAGTTTTGACTTTTCCGCGTGAAGTGCCAAGTGACTAGGGTCGGTATGTGAGATCAACATCGAGTTGACCATTGGTCTCTTCCAATGGTTTCATTTGTTGCGATGTTTAGTCCATAGTTTAAATCCTTTGAGGATAGTGACTACGGCAACAGTCCAATAGATTTACCATTCCAGAGTTGGAAGGTAATCAATTTTTCATCTCCTTTGCTGCTCGTTACATTGGCTGTAAGAAATCTTTTACATTACATTTATATATGCCCCCACCATGTGCTACGACCCCGATACTCTATTTTTGATAGGAAGGGCTCCAGGGTGAGCAATGCCCCCAGCATGTGCTACGGTGGGGGTATTGCAATAACTAAATCGTGTTATTGAAGTCAGTTTTTAGTTATAATTTTCTATTAATTGTTTTCGCAATAGCGTTTTTATTTAGTTTGGTTTTTTTGAGAATTTGCTCACCCTGGAGCCACTCAAATCAAAAAAAGAGTATCGGGGTCGTAGCACATGGTGGGGGCAGTTACTTCGAGCGACAGCGTTCTGGGCGGTGAGGCTAGAGTGGGTTACAATTTCACCGTCTCTTTGGGCAGAGTCTCTTATTGTGTTCAAACTATTGTTTCTTTTTATCAGGTATTTTTCTCTTTTTTGTTTTGATTGTATCTTTTTCTCAAAAGTAGATTATTGTGTTTTGGGTTTTTCCTTTGACTTCTAAAGTTTCATTTGGTTTCAAGTGAGTTTCAAAAGAATATTTTATCCAGTTTCAATCTGGGTTTGATCCGGTTTGGGTACCGTGGGGCTTTCTTTCTTTTTCATGCTATTAGTTTTGTGGTTGTGTGGCGTTAGCAGGCTGCGTTGGTCAGGTTAAGCTTACTCTTATAGTTCCTTCCAACCGGTTTAGAGGAAAGTTTGAAACGTGTGAAAACAAGTTATAGTTGTTATCAGTTAGATTTGAAACTTAAAATTCATTTTTTAACAATTCTTCGAAGGCGAGTTTGTGCAAATTGGTGGAAAAAGTGTGTAAATTGTGGGGGAGTGAAGAGATATTGAAATTTACAAAAAAAGCGTGACATAAAAAGGTTAGTTTTTTTATAATTTAATTGCATTTTTATGAATTTACTGCTGTAATTTTCTGAAGTTTACAGCCGAGCTATTATTATACTGCTGTTGTATCGAATTTTACTGCATTATTAATTAATTTTTATTATAGAATTGAAAGGCTTAGAAAAAGAATTTTGATTTTTTATTTGAATTTTCTTCTTTTTAGATGAGTGATCGGTGAAATTTAGAAAGGAAAATTAGAAATTTATAAAGAATGATGAGTGTTTAGTTTTATTTATTAGTTGAAATAATTAATGCATGATTATGAAGGGTCGTCATCAGTGAAAAGTCCACTGAGGAAACTTTTTTGGATTGTGTCGGATGATGTGAGGAGTTTCGCAAGTATGCTGATGATGTTATAACTTTAAAGTAGAGGCCAGAGAAGCTCCAGCGTTGTGATGATCTTTAGTTCTTCATTATCAAGAAAGAATTCATGACGTGTGTTTTGAATTAAATTATCTAATTAATGGGTATTTTTATTGTTATGGAAATTTCTAGTGGTGTGACTTCAATGGGCTATATATATTCGTGGGAGACAATTAGTGGGCGGGCGTCATCAACATCAAAGTATTTGGTTAGAGGGCAATACATACACATTTGTCGAATAGGATCATAATTATGGAGGATGCCGTGGAGATAAGTGTTTTTTTTTTATACATTAAGTGAAATTTAGGAAAAATGGTGAAGTGTGTTTTGAGTTAATGAATGTAAATCTGTGTTGTGGGTTTTTTGTTGGTGTATTAGATGTAAAAAGATGTTGTATGAAACTGTTAAATGTATATGTGTGTGTTAATTTTGATCGTAACATGATTTCATGCGAACAGCGTGAGTTACATTCGTTAGGTGTAAGGAAGAGAAAAGTTAGTTCAAAATGATTAAATTTATTAAGGTATGCATTAGTGTTTGTTGTTGCAGTAGCGATAAAGTTATCGTATTTTTTTATCAAGGTTAACTACATTTTCGGATTAAAAAAACCTTCTGTTAGTTGTGGGTTAACATTAGGGTCGTCCTCATTTGGGGTATTTTCCATGGAGCATGTTATTGCGTGATCAAAAAGGTTTATTGAGAATCTATTTGCACGTTGTGCTATGAATGTGTTAAGTGTTTGGTTTAGTCCGAAGGTTAGTTTAAGTGCAAAGGTTACTTTGTAGGGGCGGGATTTGCATAGTTTGATGTCTACGGGGGTGTTGTAAAAGGGAAGGGCTAATGGGTTAGTAAAGTGATAGTATGAAGTTCAGGAAAGTGTGGGAAACAGGCCATATTCATCAACAAGTTTCAGTTTGTTGTAGTTAGTGGTCGTATAGTAAGTATGTTCAGGGAAAAATGGTCAGTTATAAATTTAAAACTCTTTGGTGTTAGTATGTTGTGGATGAAGAGAATATAATCGGTATAATCGAGGTCGGCTAATCAGAAGTTGTGGTGTGGCGTTAGGGTGTTTGTGTTTAAAAACTCTATGGCCCCTTGTAGGTTCTGCATTTGCTGATTGAATTGGGGATTGTGATGTTGAAGTAGAGTGTGTTAGTTGGTGAATTGTTAGGTTGTTTGTGGTATGAGTGTGCTGCTGTAGTGTTATGAAGTTGTCTAATTCATGCTCTAACTGGTTATATAACATGGTGCTAGGTGGGTCAAGTTGGTCGCTGGACATCGAAAAAAGAATAGGAGTGGCGTCAGTATAGGAAGAGGGGGCTGGAGAGGATTCATTGGGAAGTTGGGAAGTGAGGATTTGGAAAAGTGCCTGTGAAAAACTAGATTTGCTAGGTTCTGAGTGGAGGAATTCATCGTGAGTTTCTACATCGGAGTTGTTAAAGTTCGATATACTGTTAAAAATAGTTTGTGTTGAATCATCTGAATCTGTGCGTGGTGAGTTAGTTGAAAAGGTGGGTAGGGAGAAGAAGTCAGGCCCGAAAGTGAAATGCCGGAGGATTGGCGTTGAAGGTTGAATGGATAAGAAAGTTAACGGTTGAGGGATCCAATCTGTCAGCTCATCGTGTGCTAAAAAGATGGTTAAGTTGAGAACGGAAATTTGTTGTACATGGTTGTTCTACAATCTGCTCATATGTGTCATCAATGGTTGAATGGTGGAGTTCTAAATGAGATACTGGGCTTTGTTGGTAGCTATGACCTCGAGAAATCTGTTCTGTTACTGCTAATGTGTTCCTTTAAATTCGTGGTACTTAGATAAAAAGTGATTATTCTGTAGCTGATGTAACTGTGATGGTGCTGTCGGTGTTAGATTTATATGGTCTTGTGAAGTATGATATGCATTTAGTGTTGTAGATAGTTTATTTTTGTGTTGGCTAACTTGAGCATGGAGTAGAAATTTGTTTATTAAGGAAGAAATTATTCCAAAAAATCTTGCAAAATATGCATGCTCCACTTACTTGTTTACTTACTCGTGTATAATTTGCGCATGTGTTGTAGATTCCTCTCAATTGTGAGAAAAAAGGAATCCAAAAAAAAACAATTATAGCGTATAATATAGTCAATTTTTCTAATATGTATTAGGGTCATCCTAGAAAAGCTACGAGTTTGTTTATTAGATCTGCAAAATTAAAGATACTATTTGGTGAATTATTTTGCGAACGGTATTTTCCTACGTTAAGACATTTATAGTCTCCATTATCCTTAAAACATCCTTATAATCTTGTGCGTAAATATCTGATAAACTTTCGGTTTCAGCGAGTTTTTGGAAGTTCTGATCAGTTGATTGTCTTTGATTCGTGTCCATCTGAAAAAAGGAGTTCTTGAAATTGTTGTGTTCGAATGTGATGTTGTATATCTGATCTGGGATAAATACCTATTGATGGTCAGTCTATGTTAGGATTACGGGCGATTGCTATTATGCTTTCTTGTGAAAATTTTTTTGATGATGGCATAAGAGTAGGGTATAGAGTATGAAGATAATATTTTTCTTCCTTTGGATTTAGCTGTACAACCTTGTGGCAATTATCAGATCCACATGGGACCGCTGTATCCTAAAAATAAGTGCACCGTGACAATGTATCAACAAAACATAGTTTTTAAAAATATATATAGAGATTTTTTGTATCATCTTCAAAAACGTATATCGATGAAACTTTTTCAGTAGATTTGTAATACCAGAGAAT